CACAGTAACTTTCGGTCGCGAGTTCACCGTTTTCGTCGACGACATAGCCCTATGCGGGATCCCTGTATGCTTACCTTTGCACAATCCACAGCTTTCCCGGCAGTTTCTCTGCATCCAAACATCTCTGCATTGAGCGACACCAGGATTCCAGATGTTCTTATAACGGCCGCAAATTGGACTGTAATCTTTACATGGAAATAATTCTAGAAAAACAAAATATGATTTTTATAAATAAATTGACCCTTATGAACCAATCAGATCGCGTCTTCTTATGATCTTTTGCTCTTACTTTTTTTCCACTCCTTGTGTACTTCATCTTGTAAAGCTTTTTGTTTCTTGGCTTCTTCTTCTTTTTTGATGTCTTCATCTGATGACATAAATACAGCATTAAAACAGCGGCTTCAATTGTAGTTGTGTTAGACGAATCAAGAAACTACATGACTAATAACATGCCTATAGGATGTATGGACTTTAGGATGTATAAAACTTTTGTTTGAAATAAAAAAAGCTCATTCGGGTTATTATAGTTATTATTAACTATTATTAATAGTTATTATTAACTATTTAAAACTTAGAGCGAGCAAATGCAATCCTTGAAGAAAATTTTATATGTTAAAGGGCCCGCCATCATTAGGGTTTCAGCTTCTCCTTTTTCATGCACTCTGTTTTTCTTGTTTGTATTTTTTCCCTACCCACCCATCCCCAAGGTATTAGCAGTGGTCGTTTGTTGAAGACCAAAGATAAAACATCTTACCCGACATTCTGATGAGCTTGTAACGAATCACTTTCTTTGGTTTTTCCTTGATCACTGGTACGTCATGGATATCAACTATGGAATACAATATCAGAGTATCTTAAAATACGTCGATCTAAGGGATGTTGGTGTCTTAGCAGCCAGGCTTTCGTAACCAACCTCGTTCCCAGGCCCTTTAATCCCTTCGCTTGGTGGAGAAGTTGGTTCGTATCGGGAGAATCTACGTAGCACTCAGTTGATGTAATATATTCATAAAGATATAATACAAAACGCAAAATACAATAGAACGAGAAACAATGGAATACAATACATTTTATGAATACATTACATCAACTGCGTGCTGCGTAGGTCACCCCGGTTCGTATCAGTTCCGTTGGAGTTTTCAGGCGACTGACACGGGCGAAGGGATAAGGCCCTGAGAGGATGCAATAGAGGTTCTGTTCTAACGGAGCAAGCTTTAAAAGGGTTCATTAATTCTGCGGGAGCAGTGTGTGACATAAAGCAAGCTGTTTGACCAATCAGAGCTCGTCATTGTTATAGTGACGTCAGTTTTTACCTCCGTTTTGGACATTATTCACCACTGGAGTTATTGTTTGTACTGAAAATGTAAAACAAATTATTTATACATAAATGACCTTTGAATTAATCACTGATAAACAAGCTATTAGTATTAAAAGATCAAAAATTATTGCAGCTTTGCAAAAACAAGACAAACCGCAAACAGCGAAAAACTCAAACAACAACAAAGACATTGTACCTTGTGAAACGGCTTCGTGAACAGCCACGAAAAACAGCACAGTGACGAGCAGTTTAGTCTCCATATTATAGAATACAAAATATTCCTGAAAAACAAGTTGAAATTATAAAAAAAACCTTGTGTATCAGTGGTATTTGTTAAAAAAGTCAGTGAAAAGTTTTTATTTGAGGTCCTTTTACAAGTCTTGCTGTACTACAGAAAGTTTATTCTAGTCTTTTTAAAGTACTGTTGTAGTTTAAAACTTGTAATATCTTCAAGAGCTTTTCCTTCTTCAAAATAGCAGTCTATTTTCGTCGTTTTGTGAACAATTCTATTGAGAAGGGTCTGTAACGTTTGTATGGCAGATTCATTCGTTTATTGTAACAGCTACTGAAACTGTAAACTCAGAGAGGGCCTTTTGGGACGTCGTTTTAATATATATTCCAAGGGATTGGTGACAAGAGTCTATTTAAGTTGATAACTGTAAAGTGGATAAATTAATAGACAATGGAAAGTACTGTTCCTTTGTTTACCAATCTAATGACAGGTCAAACTCTTTGATTTGAACAATAATGTAGGACACCCATTCAAATTACACCCTGAAGAGGCAAATTGACCCTAAAATTATCCATTAGTTCTCCATTACTGGAAATTTTTTTAACTATGAAAGACGTTAACATTTATGTGTTAAAATGTGTTTTATAACTATAAAAAACTTTTAAATTAGCCTCTTTGTAAATCGTTAAATATTTAAACAGAGTTAAGAGATCTTCTCGTCACTTTTTATGACCATCGGACCTCAAACACTCACCTTAAAAACCACAAAAATAATTCTAAAAAAGTTAACAACTTACCTTTTTGATCCGTGCAAAAGTCCACTAGGACTTAAAATGAGAAAAACCACGAAAACCAGCTACGTCGACAAACCTGGCTTTGACTTTCTCTAAAAGCGTAATAGCCCCTGTACGGTTCGACGTCGCCCCCTCAGATGTCGAGTCACGTGACTGATCTAAACTGACAGGTGTATTGTGTTGTTTTGGTTTGTGTCTGTGTAGTGATAGGATGAGGGTTGTTGTTTTTAGTTTATTGTGTGAATACAACTGGTTTACTACAGGTGGTCAGGTGTTATATAAAGAGTTTTGCAAGTAAACTTATAGCTTCTCTACTCGTTGTCTTCTACAGGTGGTTAATAGGGGGGTTGTACAGCTAGCGGCTCTTAGGGCGCTTTAACTCTATTGGAAAGATCTGGGTGGGCTATTCAGAACTAAATACTACTTTTTATCAAGATTTTTCGGTAATTTCCAAAGTTTCCTATTATCATAATGAATGAAATTGATCATTCTGACTAATGAGGTCTGACAAAAGGAAAGCGGTTTTATTTTGCATTTAACTTTCCAATTCCCGAGAGACATTTCGTGCACAATGACATTGGCCATCTGGCGTCATGAATTTAACATGACATCACATGACATCACATTATGCCTACGAATATTGCGACCATTGCGTCATAAGCTAATCTTAACATGACGTACACTCATATCACGTCATACCTCCAACAAAGCGACCACACGTCATAATCTTCACATGGACGTTTATTACTTCACATTATACTTCCAGCTTAACGATCATCTTACGGGCATAACTTTTTTATGTCCAACATTATGTTCTGGAAATCCAGATGGCTGTCATAAAGTCATCACGTGATACTGTAATGAGCCGCTGTATTTTTAAAGATCTTGTACTTGATACGTTTGAAATGAACGTGGATCGTTTATTTTATCAAATATCCCAACAACTTCATTTACTCTAAACGGCATAAAAACATGAGAATGCGTGGTACTGCGCTGCAAAGAATGGAGTGCGCGAGGTTAGGTGGGCTGCCTGTGTACGTCTTATCTCACGATTCATCTTGTCCAATCAGCGTTGAGTATTTTCCCGCCTTTACCTCTCAGGTCGCATCGCGTGACTCGTCAGTTTTGGTTTGATGTCAAGAAAGTTGGGTGCCGCTCAAAGTTTTGTTGGTTTATTMGATATTTTGTGCTCAATTTATACTTAAAATGGTGGAAATATTGTTCTTACAAATACCTTGACAAGTGGTAAGTTGTTTGCGATGTCTTTGATGTTTTTTGTAATCTTTTTTCGGAGAAGTGCGTCGAGCGTGACGAGCGGTCACGTTTTGTTGAGCTCTCTGATCAATCTTCTAAATTTTACTTATGAACGAGATCGAAAGCATATAAAATGGCTAAAGATGACTTACAAAAACAARTGAAGAAGGAGAACGATGAATTGAAAAAAGAAATCGCAAACTTACGAGAGGAATTKAAAAAACTCGAAGACAAGATGGCTTCGGCCCCGGAGTCTAGAGAACTCGAGAATAGTGTTGAGTTCTTAAGTGGCGAATTTGACAGCATGAAATCCGATAAGTCCAGTCTCCAACAAGATCTCCTCCTTCTTAAGGAGAAACTTAACGTGATAAGCACCAGAGTCGATCTTATTGATGAAACCATGGAAAGCCTACTGAAGTACAGCTATCAGTATAATCTGAAAATAATGGATGTACCACGAGCTCAGTCCGGTACCTTTGAAACTGCAGACCAATCCATTGAGATCTGCCTAAATATCTTTCGGGAAATGGGGCTAAATATTTTACAATCAGATATTGATATTGCCCACAGAATGCCCACCCGTAACAAAGAGTCACGTACTACGCCTATTATCTGTAAATTCACGAGACGACAAGCGAAAGAAGCAGTGATGCAATCAAGAAGTGAGATCACTAAAGTTGATCTTACTAAGATTYGTCTGCCAACAACTAGTGAGAACACAATGAGGATTTATGAACACCTCACACCTAAGCAACAAGACCTGTTAAGAAAGGCAAAGAGCTTCCAAAGAGAAAATGGCTACAAATACTGCTGGGTAAGGAACCAGAAGATTCTTCTACGCGAATCCGATACCAGCAAAATCATCATTGTCGACAACGTGAATGTTTTACAGAGCCTTGGTTTCGAGCCTGTCCCTTTCACTGACTTCGTTGGCTATGTGCCTACAGGTTCCGCCGAACCAAGATATGTCAATCGCGGAGGATTTCGCGGTCGTGGACATAGAGGCGCTCAATATGGAAGACCACGTACAKGATCATCAGCAAGAGATACTACCCACTAAACTCTATATTAAATGTCTTTTGAAAGCCGAAAGTTAAAAAGGAATTACCTTAAACAACAAAGTAAGTGCAACTAGACGCTCTTGGAGCGTGAAGTCGGGCTAGCTATTTTGGAAAATTGAGAAATCACTTGGATTTGCGAATACGTGAAGAGCGAAAGAGTTCAACACGATAAGATAAAATTCGTATCTAAAAAAACATGTAATATTCTGACAGTCATATAATTATATATGAAAGTAATTTATGGCGTAGAATACCTTATCTAGTTTGTTTATTCACGCATCGCGATATTCTTTTCTGGTGGCTTGTCGCAACGACATCAAAACACTAGAAATATCGATCCAGGAGTGATATTCTGTCTTTCTCAATTTTCAAAAATAGCTATCCCGACTTCACGCTGTAAAAGCGTGTAGCTCATTCAAAATATACAAATTTCGTGAGATTTAAAAAGGTCATATAAACAACACTTTATAATTTAACAATTTTTGATGCAATGTTTAAAGGAAAGAACCCTATTAACCTATACTTATCCCGTTTTTTGTACATGGACCAGCTTATACTAATTAGGGGAATTTCCAAATGCAACTCTTTCAAATAAATTCAAAATAAATGCTTTAAATGCTCTTAAAACTCATATGCTATAATTCCTAATGCAACCCTAGACGAAATGGCGCAATGCATTTGATTATCAGATATCTTGGTGTAAGGTTTCACGTTTTTAATTAAAAAATGACCTCT